GGTGTTATGCACAAACAATGAATCATGGAACACTTCATCTAAAACTAATGATGTAATGTATGGGGATTAACATAAGAATAAAAAAAAAATAAAAATAAAAAAAAAAATAAAAGTAGGGTAGACATATAATGATTTGGGCCAGGTTCACCGAACTTTTCCTTTTACACATAAAAACAGGTATGGAGAAAAGAGAGTGAGCTCACCAAATCCTGAGAATTTTTCACTAACACCACACAGCTTGGAAATAACCTGAGAGACTAATGAATTGTATAGATAGCCCAGAGAAAAGTAAAATCATTCCTGAACAGAAGAAGCCTGTATTACAGAAGAATCTTTACAAAGGAAGGAAGAAGCACCAGAGCAGGCCATTTTGCACTACACCAATGGAACAAGTAAAAGCCCAAAAGTAATATTCCATGGAATCCGGATATACACAAGAACAGGTAGAGTGAGCCCATGGTCCACTGCAAGACACCAAACAATTGGAATTACTAATATAAAGAAAAGGCTTGAGATGATCACAGTGAATGCAGAGAAAAAGAGAGGGATTCAAATAATTATTAAATAGATAATACATAAAGACAAAGGTACCCCAATAATAACTAGAGTCTCTAAAACAGCCTAACAAATAGAATACAAAATTCACAAATCTAAAATTTTCATGAAATAAAACAAGAATCAAATAGTCCTTAGAGAGGCATGCTGTGGGTTCCAACTATGTTATTAAAGAAGAATCAAAACAAATACTATGATTAAGTTCTTCTAAGAACAAAGAATCCTTCAGGCAGAAAAAAAAACAAAAACAAAAACAAGTCACATATAAGTAAGGGAAAAAAACCTGTAACTGGACTTCTTTTTAGCCAAACTCAATGTCAAAAAATAGAGTAACATTTTTATAATGTTTAGAATAAAAAAAAACTTAACTCAATAATTTTATTCATAAGCAATTTGAATATAAGAATAACACAAAGCCAGTTTGAAGCATGCTAAATCTGAGAATAAAGTATTTATTAGCCCTTCCTCAAAAAACTGAAAATGAAATTCAGTTACCCAGGGATTTCCCAAAATAAAGAAATCAGGTATAAAAATGTCATGTATGAAAAAAGTTGCAGATAATGATTATTCAGTCCTTTTAAATATAAAATCAAAATTAAACAAGAGGGGGACATTTTGGCTATAGAATCTAATACAATTTTTACAAAGATTTTATAACTAGAATTAATAAAGAAAAAAAGGAGTTTAAAACTTACTTCATAGCTGAAAGTCAAATGATACTGTTTAACCGAAACACCGCAAATTTCAAAAAACTGAAAAGAATTGATGATTCCAAAACCTGAATGTTTTTCAGCCTCTTTTCTTAAATTTTGAAGGATCTTTGGGGAATTAATACATCTTACTGTATGAAGTAGACTTTGCATGAGGTTCAAAATTTTCTTTAGTTTCACTTCAATTGATTATTACTCCCAAATTCAAAAAACACACAGCACCAGCTATGAACCAGGTACTTTTCAATATTTATTAAATCATTTAGTCCTCGTAACAACTTACACAAAGTAGGTACTATTTACCCATTTTGTAGGCAAAAAACTGAATTCCAGAGACTCTGAGTAATTTGTCCATTCAAATACAGATGTCTGATCTGGATTCTGTGCTGTTAACCTCTACATTATATTGCCTCTCAAATAAAACAATATGTAGAGAATTATTTGATTTTTCTCAAATTAATTCTATGTATACATCCACTCAGCCACCAACCATCAACCATCCATTCTTGTAGATAATAGTATTTAACTATATAAGCAAAGAAAATGTTTGGAATAATGTTTCTCTATTGATAAAGATAGTTATTTGGGAGTAGGCACTGGGGAATTCAGGTAAATTTTTTTTTTTTATTTCTATTATTCAATGAGTTTAACGCCTTATAATGAGTATCAGTTTTCAAAAAAAATGAAGCCATTAATCTAAACAAAAAACAAACCACATTACCTAATCACAACTTGAACACTGTCATGTTAATTATTTAATGACTTTTTGTCTCCCTAATGAACAATGTTTTAATTAGTACTTTACTGTAATCCCCCATGGAGCCTAGCACAATGTCGGGCAGAGCAAACACTCAATAAGTATATTGATGGATCATCATAAAATATTACATTACTACACTGTACCTATCTTACAAGTAGTATATTTCTAGATGCTCTAGAGCCTTTACCTAAATCTGACTCCTTAGACTAGCATCATTTACATTATCAGGGAACTTGAAGAAAAACAGAATCTTCAGCTCCACTCCATACTTATTGAATGAGAATGAGCATTTTAAAAAGATTTCCCAAGTGATCACATTAAAATTGGAGAATTTCTAGAGCATTATTTATCTAAGTGTGGTCCATTATTTACCTATATCAGAATCACCTAGGTTGCTTGTTAAAAATGTAGATTCTCAGGCTCTACCCTATTTCAAGTGTCATTATATTTTATGCTACACCTAATAAAAGTAAAAAGTAGTGATGAATAGGAATGAGCATATTAAGCAGAGAGCAGTGAAAGAACCTACATGGTTTAAATAAATCAAGAAAGTGATACTAAAAGAGGGAAGAAAAGAGGCATCGCAAAGGAAGGTAGAGTAAGTATACCAACAGTAGGCTATGAAGAAGTAAAGAGAGTAATTGTACAGAGAGTGCTGTGTATTCCCCCTCACCCCTCCTTTTTTTGACTGTTATCCCTGACATGCAAACTACTACAGCATGACTGTGGGAATATGAAATTTACTGGTGAACCATATAACAATCAGTAACTTTTCTTAATATGTAACTACCACATAATGCATGCACTTTATAAATGCTCCAGAAGTCACATATAGTTTTAAATGTATACGTACACTTTTAGAGACATTTCCATATGCTCGGCTCGTGCAATTGCTTCATCTCTCTCCTCATTGGCTAACCGCAGTCGAGACATAATAGCTTCATCACGTTCCTTCTGTGCAAAATACACTTCTTCAACCAGAGCTACCAAAATATATAATCCATAATTAATTAGAGAAAATTTAAAAATGCATACTTTTAGCAAAAAGAAAAAGAAAAACAATTTTGTTATTTTACTAAATTAAATTAGTATCAATTAATCCTTGAAAAAACATTTTTAAAAGCTACTACAAAATTGAAATACATTTCATACCCATAAAAACACAAATTAAAAGGTCAAATAATAAATACCGTGAGCTTGTGAAATAAAGGAAACTCTCACATACACTGCAGATAGGTGTATATATTTCTACAGTCATTGAGTAATTTGGCAATATTTATTACAGTTAAAGATTTGCCTATAACCTGGCAAATCTCCTATTTGGTATGCAGCCTAGAGAAATTCTTGCACATGTGCACAAGGAAACATGTATAAAAAAATGCTTACTGCAGCATTATATAACAGCAAAAACTTAGAAATAACCTAAATGTCCAATAACAGGAGCAAGAATTAAAAAATTACTAAACATTCAAAATGGAATACAATACAACATTTAAAATGAATTAGCTGGACACATTTCAAGAATAAAATTATGGCAAAAATTGCAAGGTCCAAGGCAAAACAACTCTACCTATCATTTATGGACAAACACAATTAGTAAAAATATTAAAACAAGCATGGCAATGAAAATCATCAACTTCAGGACAGTAGTTATGTCAGTAGCATAGTGGAAGAAAAGGAAAGAAATGGGATCAAGCAAACGGGCAGAGGTGAGCTCTTTAGCACTGCGCATCTCCAGAGAGCATCGTTTATATACATCGTAATACAAATGGTCTCATCTAGATTTGTGCAGCACTACCTAGAGAGCTTTGATGTTATCTGAAATTGTCATTTCTCAAGCATAATTTCTACCTGAAATTTTATATAACTTTTTTTTGGTAGCCTCATGTTGTATTTTATTTTTTTTTGAAGTTTTTTTATTATGTTATGTTAATCACCATACATTACATCATTAGTTTTTGATGTAGTGTTCCATGATTCATTGTTTGCATATAACACCCAGTGCTCCATTCAGTATGTGCCCTCTTTAATACCCATCACCAAGCTAACCCATCCCCCCACCCCCTCCCCTCTAGAACCCTCGGTTTGTTTCACAGAGTCCATAGTCTCTCATGGTTCGTCTCCCCCTCCGATTTCCCCCCCTTCATTTTTCCCTTCCTACTATCTTCTTCTTTTTTTTAACATATAACGTATTACTTGTTTCAGAGGTACAGGTCTGTGATTCAACAGTCTTACACAATTCTTATATAACTTTTAAAATATCACTGCAATGTTAGACAAAAAGGGGCTCAAATACCTAGATCACTGACCAAATTTTACTTACACTGTCAAACCACAAAATAAACTTAGGAAAGATGTTTGAAATGTTCTTTTAGTTTACAAAACATTGGGTTTTTGCTAACATTTGTCACAGATTAATGCATAGCTAATCAAGAGTTATTCTTGTATTATTTAAATTATAACTGGTTGAAAAGAAAAAAACCCCAAGAGTAAATCATCTATATCTTTTCCATAGTAGAATACAAAATGGAACATGCAACGGCAAAGCTAAAGTCAAAACCATTTTCGGGGCACCTGGGTGGCTCAGTCAGTTAAGCGGCTGTCTTCGGCTCAGGTCATGATCCTGGGGTCCTGGGATCGAGCCCCACGTCCGGCTCCCTGCTCAGCAGAGAGCCTGCTTCTCCCTCTCCTTCTGCCTGCCACTCTGCCTACTTGTGCTCTCTATCTGTCGAATAAATAAATAAAATCTTAAAAAAAATAAATAAGTAAAGTCAAAACCATTTTCAAGAAAGTGAGCCTAAGGGAAGAGAAATATATTCATTCATTTCTTCACTCATTCATTAATTTATTCTTTCATCAAATATTTATGAAATTCCTGTGGCAGTCACCCATCCAGTTTTAAGTAGTATGACTACCGTGTTCTTAAAAGTCCTTACCTTCCTGGAGATGTATACATTCTATTATAGAGAGACAGACAGCAGAGAGAAAGCAGGGCCAAAATTAAACAGGCAGATAGTTAGACAGATAGAAGTAAAGGTTTTGAAAGAAAATAAGGGTGTGTGAGAGAAAAAAAGAATGATTTGGAACATGGGAAAAGAATAAACTAATTTAGGAAAGGTGGCCAGAAAAGCGCTTTTTAAATAAATGACATTTCAGCACATGTAAATAAAGGAAGAGAAGCCATATATATCTATATATTTGAAAGTAGACTAATAAGCAGAATAAAAAGTAATACAAAGGTCCTGAAAGTGTTAGAGGAACAGCAGTAAGGCCAATGTGTCTGAAGCAGTGATAAAGGGTGAGAGCTCTGGGAGATCACAATGGGCCTTGTGATCCATAGCAAGGATTTTAGGTATCATCTAACTATAATGGTAGCCTATAATGGTAGCCAATGGGAGTGTCCTGAGCAAGGAAAAGACAGCATCACATTTATATGGTGGAAGTCTGAAAAGGAATTCTGGTTTCTGAGTGAGAAATAGTCTGGAGGTGGGCATGCATAGAAGCAGAGACTAGTCAGGAGACTAGAGGAGTAATCTAAGCAAGAATTCACTTCAATAACCCATATAAATGGCCCATTCCTTGAAAGTAAAGCTACGCAGAAGTAAATATACATATATATGCCATCCTAGAGTTTAGATATTACATTAAAAGACTTCTAGAATAGAAACAATTTGATCAAATCTGTGCTTTAGAAGGAAACACCCACAAGTTGGCATATAGAGTGTATGTGGAAGATGCAGGGGTCAGCAGAAAGTTGCAGGTTGGATTGTGTGTGCCCCTTGACCCAATCGTAGATTACTGTAACAGTTCAGGTAAGAAATAATGAAATCCTGAACCAAAGTAAGGGCAATAAAATTAAAAAGAAAAAGAAAATGGATTCAATTCATAACAAAAAGGGTAAAATAAGAGAACCCAAGAGCTAAGCATGTACTGAATAAATTTTAGAGAAGAGAAAAATAGGACAGGTGACCTCACTAAGCATCTCTCAATATATCAGCAGTATGATTTTCTTAAAACCTTAGGATAAACAGGTTACTCTTCTTGCTGCTGCTACATAGATTTCAAGGCAAAAAAAAAAAAAACGGTCTCAGCCTGGCATTCAAGGAAAACTAGAGTCCAGTTCTAGGTTACCTTCCCAGCATCACCTATCACCATGTTCCCTCCAGGACAATGTTACATAAAATACAGGTTGCAAAACACGGTTTTTAACAGTTATGTATCACTTTAATGTATATTACAAAAATGTAATGGGTATATTAGGCCTATAATGTCTCCTAGTGTCATTTAATTTAATGTCTAATTAAATTTTAAATTTCTCTAAGTTACCAAAACACATTGTTGAGCCAGATGCCCCTACGAACGTAACTTTCTATTACTTCATTTATCTAAAGTTCAAAAACACAAAAGAATGACCTAGTTATTAAACTTAGGATAATGATTACCTTTTGGAAGGAGTACTGAAAGGGAGGATGAGGGACATTTCTGGGATAATTGGTGATATTTGGTTTCTTGATCTGGGTGCTGGTTACATAGTTTGTTCACACTTTCTGAGATTCATAAAACTGCACAGTTATTGGTGTACTTCTATGTTTAGATGTTAAAACTAAATAAGAAACACTACATTAAAAAATACATTTATCTAGTTAAAAAGTTGAGCTGATTTAAAGAAAAATATTAAGAGTAGAGAAAAGTTAGTATGTATGATAAAATTTCTGAAGGTACATGTTAAGATTAAATTTTAAGCAACAGAGACTTGTCCTTCTGGTCGAGATGGAGTAACAGGATTTGGATTTGTCCTTCCACTTAAATCAATTTTTTAAAAGATTTTATTTATTTATTTGACAGAGAGAGAGAGAAAGTGTGCACATGCACTCGGGGGTAGGGGCAGAGAGAGAGAGAAAGGCAGACTCCCTGCTGAGCAGGGAGCCCAATGCAGGGGCTTGATCCCAGAACTCTGGGATCATGACCTGAGCCAAACAAAGGCAGACGCTGCTTAACTGACTGAGCTACCCAGGTGCCCCAAAACAATTTTTAAAAATGGACAAAATATTTAGGATGACAGCTTTCAAGACTGTAAGGAAACAAACAACAGTGACCTGAGGAAACAAACAAATGAGTTGAGCCCTATGATTAGCCCAGCTTAATACACAGAATTCCAGAATATGGCACAGGAAGGGAAGAATCAAGGAGGAACCCAGCTGATTCCACAATTTGGGAGGGCAGAGATATAATCTGGAGAAACCAAAGCAGCCGGAATTCACAAGAGAGACTATAAGAGAAAAAACAGCTGCAAAGAAAGAAAATTTTGGAGTTGTACACAGGGTCTTCCTCAAAATGTCAGTTGAATACTGAGTGTACCTGTGAGTAAACTACTCCATACAGGGGAAAGAACCACCTGAAAGGATTAGAGGCAACAGTGCCCTGGGCTCCAGAAAACCAAAAATAATGCATGTTGTTCCCACCAGCCAGATCAGAAAACCTCAAGATTCATAAGGTACTGCATAGAGTACTCAGAAGAGTCTTGCCTCAGCAGTGGGGATTAATCAACCCTAAACACTGCTCTGGTAACATCTAGCGTATCTTTAAAACATGACCCAAAAGGAGAGACCCGTTTCCAAAAAACATAAGTACATCTGATTAGAAAGTTCAAAAATATTTTATAAGAATACAAAATAGCTTCCAAAATGGTAAAATTCATCATGGCATCCAATTGACAGGCATGCAAACAAGCACCAAAATTAGGACCCATAATGACAAAAAATTAATCAACTGAAACGGACTAATATTTTTGTCAACCAACTAATACATAACCCTGTTTTATGTGTGTTTCTGTTTAAAGACACTTGTTTAACATATACTTTGATTTAATAACATTGAATCCATGGCCGAAGGCACTGTAACTCATGCCTGAACAAAACTTACCTAATACACATATTTTCTCCGTAACTCACAACATAGCCTTCTGGTACTCAGGGAACACTAG